ATATATATATATATATATATATATATATATATATATATATATATATTTAATCTTTTGGTTAAGGCAAAACAACAACAAAAATCCAAACAGTCCAGGTAAAGCACCAGGGCAAGAATTAACCAAGGGGATGGGAGGGACAAGAAAAACAGGTGCTGCTATGCCAGCAGCAGAGGCAGGGCCCCTAACACAGTGCTAAGCCAGAGATGACCTTCATTCATCCTGCCGACCCTCCAACCCACTGGACATCTGAGAACTCTCCAGACCTTTAGCCCAACAGAGGAAATGACATGGAAGTCTTTGATCAATTCTTTTTGAGAACCCCACTGTCCCCCAACAGCATGAAAACACAGAGGAAGGGCTATCTGGAGCTAGACAGCCGCATGCCTGATCAAGACTATTTGAAAAAATATTGTTCCTGCCATCTTGCCCAAATCAAACATGACAATCCTTTCCACTGCGCCTGGGGTAGGTGGCTACACTCATGTTTGGGCATTTGCTGCAGCAGGAAATCTCATTTGACCCTTTCTTTCTTTAGAAAGCTTCCAACTAGATTGAGTGAACATCTGTCATCTATAAAGTTATCTTCTGTTCCTGATTTTTTTTTGCCTTTGAAGTTATGCAAAACAAAGCTGACTCCTCTTCCTTTTTATAGCTCAGCAGAACTTTGAGGCCGGTATTGGCCATTACACCATCTCCTAACTTCTCTGCACTCCCTTCCCAGCTCTACCCTTGGTTTTGCGGGACAGTGGACCCTGTTCCTTACATAATCAGGATCTTCACAACTCTGGTCATCTGCCTGTGGACACAGTCAACTTATCAATGTTTCTCCTAAAATACAGTAGCTCTACTTGAACGTAACTCTCCATCCAGGCTTGAGCTCGGCAATACACCATGCAGAACTGATCAACACCTGCCACCACAGATGGAATGCATTAGCTTCGTGGATAGCCATGATACATACCTGGTTCAAAAGAAACTCAAGGAAATATTTCTATATGAACTGCTATAAAACCAAGTCTCCCCAGTTCTCATCAACACATACACACATACACCGGTCTGTACTGAAAAGGCTGTATTTTAAAAATTCAGAATACAGGTCTTATTTATGCCCACACAGCTTGTCCTTTTTGTTTCAATCTAATGCTTAGTTAAAAATGCACTTCAAAACATTGCAGTGATTTCTAATGCATAATGTCAGCACATAGTTCAAATCTCACTAAACACGAGCTGAATAATGATAAAAAACAAAACTTGAATCACTAAGTCCCAAACTGCAGGTATTTTCTACTTATTTCCACACGTTTCCCAAGTCTGATAAAATATGCATTCTGTCCGCTTACTATATTCTTCATGAGAGAAAACACTGCGGTACAAACATGCAGGGGGTAGAGAAGCCGGGGGTGGGAACCTGTGAGGGAGAGGGCAGCTGTTCTGATTCCTGGACCAGCATTTCAAGTTTGTGACACTGGGAAACCGGCTCTCCCCAGCCCGACCCTGGAGCCTTCTGCGTTTTTGAACTCTCACGATACTGTGACTACCAACCTCTCAAGTTGGGGCAAAGCTCATTCAAACTCAGCTTTTACAGTGATATTTTTAGCTTAAGTTTCCTCTAAATTTTGAGTTAAAGGGATGTTCAACAGTCATTGCATATGAGGTATAAAAAGAACTCCCAAGTGTCTTTCTTTTGCCTTTATACACATGGACTCATAGCCACTCAGGAATTAGAAGTGGTCAGTGAAGATTTGGTAATTCTTTATGATTGAAGCTGTCTTCTAAACTGAATATAAACTTACACTTAATGCCTTTTTTTCCTTAAGTGAAGAAAAATAAGCTCAGTTTTGTTTTTTTTCTCAACAAACTATGAATCCAATCCAGTGCATTTGTAGACGTAAGCTCCAATCCCTAAATTTGAAAATATCCGATAGGGCACTTTCCGCTCATGACTTAAGACAGCAAATGGAAAAGGAGAAGTTGCAAAAGTATTTTGATCTTGGACAATCCAGAATCAGAAGGGAAACATCTGGAAAACCTCTGCTGCATAACACCAACATTTAAAGAATAGAACCATCTAGAGAAGGCCTAGCAGATCCAAAGAGGAAATGGCTTTGAAACCTCTTTGGATCTTTTAATGGGAGCAATAGAGATGGATGCTCAAGGCTGCTTTTTTCCAGAAACTTCCAAGTGACAGATGAGTACTGGAAGCAAACAGTGCCAACACTGACATTGGATGTTCTTTTTGGGTCTCTAATGGTCACCACAAACCACACACCATTGCCATGATATAAGCAGAAAAAAGACAAGGAGGCTCAACAGATAATAAACTCTGAAAGCCGGGTGCACCATGTGCTTTGGGCATGCTCAGTGTCAAGGAGCTGTTGAAAGCAGCTCCCTCAGGATTTCCTGTCACACATGGGAAACTGCACACAGGAAACTGGGGTAGACTGCCTTCCACATGGAGCAGCCACAGCAGGTGTTGACTTAATCTTGAATTATTCAGGAGTCAGCGTTCCTCAGTTCCTTGCAGGTGGGCCACTGTCACTGAACCCCACATTCCTTTGGATTTTCCAAGTCCTCCCCCTCAAAGTCTGGCTTCAAACTCTTTTTTTGTTCAATCTCCACCTGCCAAAATAAAAGATGGAGAAATATCAGGAATAAGAGGAAGCAAAAGGAAAAACACAAAACAAATGAACAAAGAATCTCAGAGGGTTCCTTGGGATCGTTTGAATTTTGTGGATGTTCATGGCTGCTGCCACAACGGAGTACTTGCTAGTCCTGAGTATACCAGGATCCCCTCTCAGGTGGGGAATTCCCTCTTCTTCGTGGTCCAGTTCATCTGGGAAATTCTTATCCTTTGTTGTCACGAAGAGATGCTCACCGATTACATTTGTTGCTGATTCAGTAGGGAGACTGAATTTCCCTTGAATATTTCTGCTGCCCCTGCCTCCACTATTCCATTGGCTTCATGGGATAGGAGCAAGATCTAGTTCATTTTACCCAGTGGTATAGGATTCTGGTAGGCAACTGAGAGCGGTTTATAGAATGACTAAGTTCCTTTGCAGTTGACCACTTAGGCCCTTCCAATTATTTCATCTCTTAGTCTCTAAGCTAATAAGTATTTTGACCATTTATTGTTCTATCCTATGTCCTGCAAAACACTGTTAAGAAGTTGCTCTTTGAGAGTAACATGCCCGGACCTAGGGCCCCTGCACACATGTAGCAGATGGGAGGCTTGGTCTTCATACAGGGCGCCTTGTGAGTGGAGGAAGTACTGTTTCTAACATGGACTCTATTGCCTGCTTTTGGATCACTTCCACTCTCGCAGGGCTGTTTTGCCTGGCCTGAGGGGATGAAGATAAGAGCAGTCCTGATGTGACTTGAGGTGCTTTGAAGGTTAATACGGTGGTAGGGGTCTCACCTTTTCTTGGGGGGAAAGGGACAGGAGAAAAAGGAAGGAGGGGAAGTGGAGGGGGGACAGGAAGGAGGGGAGGGAGGGATGTAAAGTAAATAAACTAATATAAAAAATGAAAAAAGAAAAGGAAGTAACATGCCTTGGGCTAGAGAGACGGCTCAGTGGTTAAGAGCACTGCCTGCTCTTCTGGAGGGCTTGGGTTCAATTCCCAGCTCTCACATGGGGGCTCACCACTATCTCTGACTCCACTCCCAGGGCCTCCTCAGGCGCTGCGTGCATGTGAATGCACAGACATACAATGCAGACAAAACACCTACACACATCAAACAAACAAAATCTTTTCAAAGAGTAATACGCCTTATCTAAAGCTCTGGTGAGTCAGGAAGGTCGTCCTTTGAACTGAGGAATCTCATAACTCAGGCTGTTCCTCAGCACTGCATTGAATGCTAGGCTTCTCCACTTGGGGACAACAAATGAAGATAGACTGCAGTCCATGGTTTTGGGGAACTGCTGGTTTTTTCCCTGGCCACAAGATGGGGCATTCGCTCTTCTTGGTAGTTAAAAGGTTTTAGATGACACAACTAAGAAAATATTTAAAGGAATAATAACTATATAAATCCATGGTAAACATTATACATAGGAAAGTATCAAGCAACTTCGCAAAATCTTTTGTCAGTGCCTTTCTCTTCCCTCCTGGGAACTTGATCTTCTCCCAAATGTCCACCTCTCCAAGACATTGCCCTTGTTTTACAGCGACCTACCTATAATCTGAGCACCCAGAGGCAGGAAAACAGAAGCTGAGTTTCAGGGGGAGAGCCTATCTTCAAACACCCTGTGACGCCATCCTCCGAAAACCACCCAGCCTTGACTGCAGACTTCTCCCCCAGTCTCAAGGCTATTATCACTGTAAAAGGGTTTGGATTCTAAGTTTGCACTTGTACCTGCCTCTGTTGTGTTCTGATCTACAACTCCTGTAGATGAAATACTTGCTTCAGCTTAACATGTTCCCAAAACTCCCCTCCATGTCCAAGTTCACTCCAAACCAAGAATTATGTCACAAATGAGTAATAATTACTGCTTGGTTCTACTGTTCTTTCTGTTATTATTGATGATGTCATACATTATATTCTTTTCATCAACCCCTTAATTTTTTCCAAGCCTTTCTCTTACCCACAAGAGATTATTTCATTAAAGTCAGAACAGATCACCCACAGCAATGAATGTAAAGTTCCTTTTTATGAGAAGCATTTGCTGAAAGGAATAAGGGGGAGGGGTGGAGTGAACAAATGGACTTGGAAACGTCAGCCAGAAGCCCCCCTGAGGCTACCTTGTAGCTGTAGTGTGCAGAATAATTGACCCACTTCCTGACATCAGGCTTGTCTTCCACAGAGATGGATCTCACAGCTGCTTTGGAGGCTGAAGTCGTGGGCATGGTGAACTCAACATTTACATAATTGGCAAATCTGGAAGGCACTTCCCGGTCAGAGCCAAGCTCGAGGTGGCAAAAGAAACAGTGTGGGTGACCAGAAGCTAGAACAGAAAGAAAGAATCCAGAGGTTAAGTCCTATGAGGATGAAATTAAAAAGGAAAAGAGGCCAAAGAGCCACTTTGATAACGGTGGAGGTCTGGAGGCTCTGTACCTCGCACTTGCAGAGGGTCCAGTGGTGAGCAAGAGGGCTTCACTAGGCAGATACCAAACTCAGTGTGCCTCAGACTCTTTCATCCAATGCCTCTTGATTACTACAGCCTGGAACACTAGCATAAACCCCACAGTCTGTGGGGGCTGGAGAGATGGCTCAGTAGTTAAGAGCAATGGCTGTTCTTCCAGGGAAACTGGTTTCAGTTCTCAGCACCCACAGAGCAGTTCACAATTGGGAGCCGACACTCTCACAAAGACACCCATGCAGACAAAACAAAAATGCATATAAAATAAAAAATAAAAACCAAATACATGGAAATATCAATGTGATTAAACATCATTTGTAAAAACAAAAATAAACAAAAAACAAACAGAAAAAAAAACCCCATAGTCTGAGAAACAGGCCTTTATGACTGTTTAGGTCAAAGAGCTATGTGGACACAGCACAAACACTGAGAAAGAGGCTTGAGAGTGGAAGAATGAACATATGAGATTAACACTTGGCACCTAATAAAATACTAGTGACAGCCACCTGGAGCAAACTGCTTTCCTTTACGAGATGAATTTTCTTAATAGCATTTTATATTCTCAGAGATGCCTCAGGCATGTTTCTGTGGGAGGGTGAAAGTGATGGATTTAAAGACAGCACACACGAGGCTGGGAAATAATACAGCACACTGGACAAATGATCTGATCTGCAGTCAGAATACATTGGTCCATTTGCAGTTCCCCTTCTAAGTGGAAGAGTCCTTTGTTCCCTTCTGACCTCGATTCCTCATCTGGAAAGTGAGGTGATTAGGAGGGATATGAGAAGGTGGACTGTACAAGAAATGCAGAATTTAAGAGCATGGGGGGGGGGAGTTAGGAGGGTCAGTCTGTATTTATGGGTCAACTGTACATGCAGATGAAGTTAGGATTTGTTTTTCCACTTGAGTTTTAGATTCCAGAGGTAGAGTCCGGTTCTGCAACTATGGTGTTCAAGCATCAGTGTCCTTCATCAGACACATCAGAGAATGATCGTGGATGCCCTGTGCCTGCACTGATGTTAGCTGCTCCTCTCTCTCTCTCTCTCTCTGACTCTCACCACAAACCCTTAAAGCAGCAGTTCTCAGCCTGTGGGTCTCAACCCCCTTTGGGGTTGAATGACCTTTTCACATGGGTCGCATCAGATATTTACGTTACAATTCATAATAGCAGTAAAATTACAGTTATGAAGTAACAAGGAAAATAGTATGGTGGGGGAGGGGCAGTCGCTGCAACATGAAGGTCGCAGTCTGGGTCATAACTTTATGATCCCCAGACATGGAGGCCAGGCTGCAGGAGAACGGTGTGGAGGCGGCAAGCAGCAAATGACTACAGATAAACACTATGGCGTGGCTTTGACTAAGTGGTCTAACTCTTCCCTGCTTCTCCAAGTAAACAATTCCAGTTTTCCTTACTGCTCTGGGAAGGATTTTTCAATCTCAGCGAAGGAAGGAGACACACACCCTCTCTCCAAGGAAAACACTTCAGGATGAGGTATTTGTTTTTCTTTGTTTCACAAATATAACATAATTTAATGGTTTCTAAAGAGCAAAGCTAGAAGTTTAACTAAAAGATGTGCACTGTTTTTTGGTTTTTTTTTGGGGGGGGAGGGGGGAACCACAAATAAATATATTGATGGTATCTGAAAATGAATCTGTCCAGTCTATTGGTTTGTGTGCCACAGACTAATTACAGAGCCATCATTTGTCACTGTGCATAACACTTAAAAGCATTTCATTCTGAATGAGCTATGGACTAATAACCCTATCTCACTGATGAGAAAAATTACGTTTCTCCAAGAGGGTTAAGTAAATTGCATGAGGTCACACCACCACTAAACAGCAAATCTGAGAATAAAATTCATATCTCACCCACTCCAAACCAGGTCCTAAGTACTTGGCCCACTGCCAGGGAAACTGCTCACTATAGTTTCAAATAGCGACTCGAACAATTGTTTGTATCTAATCAGATTTCCTTGACATTGCTGGAATATTGAGACACTGTTTCTCTTTGTCTCAAAGCATAGTCATAGGAAATGCTGAAAGCCAAATCTTGTCCTAGATTCCTAGCCTCCGCGATTGAATGTGTAAGTGTGGTGGACAGGTGGGGCAATTTGAAAGCTTGTATAGTTTAATTCATGGTTACAAAGATAACTACATACATATGTTAATTTGTCTTTCTTGGTGAAATTAAGTGTTAAAATCCAGATTGACTTTGCTAGGTAGTGGTGTTGCTTTAATGGTGCTTTAATCCCAACACTCAGGAGGCAGAGGCAGGGGGATCTCTGAATTCGAGGCCAGCCTGGTGTACAGAGAGAATTCCAGCACAGCCAGGGCTGTATAGAAAAACCCTGTCTTGAAGTCCCCCTCCTAAATATTTTAGTAAACTAGCAATGAGTGTAATAAACAAGTAGCCTGTCACTTGGCCTCAAGCTCCTGAGCATTCTCTGCTGGGAAGCATTACAGAAAATGTTTGCTATATATCTATTTGCTGTCCCTGCCCTCTCTGCCCATTGTCCTTTTTCTGGTAACAATCTTTTCTCTCTCTCCCTTAAGGCAATAATCCTCTCCAGTACTATATGCCATCTTGATTGCTCTGGTCACTTGTCAACTTGAGCCAAGTGGCCCAAGCACCAAAAATGACGACAAAAATTTGTCTCCACGGCTGTACCGAGGAGACAATCATTAGTTTCGGGGACTAACTCTCCTCTGGTGCTGTCTTCCCTGATGTCTGCTATTTAGCCTTTCCTCAGTTCAATGACCTACTCATACTGAAACCCCCTCTTCCTGCTCCATTTAAGGTCAGTCCTTGTTGAGTATAACTAAGATCTTCACACAGTACTTTTAAGAGTTTTAAGTCACTTTGAGATTATTTGTACACACTGTGGAACTAGAAATCCTTGTTATGGTACATATTATTTAGGGCGTGTATCTACTTGGCTACATCTATAAAGGGGACCTGTGGTATTGGGAAAAGGACCCTTGAATGTGTTTTTGTGACTTCAGGTGAGTAATGTCACCTCTTAGTCTCCCATCTAAGGTCCCAGCTTGAAAGCCCAGTACGTTCACAGCTCTCTCTTCCCCAGGGTTTCTGTGCCAAAGGAGAATTCAGGACTTCCCATTTCCACTCTCAAGTGAGGTGGGCCCCCGTGGCTGAGACAGCAAGCCACATAAGCACCAGATGAACACAGTGCTGAGCACCAGAGAAATGAGTAGGCAAGCACAGAGAGCAAGACTGTTTTAAGAATCCCGTCAGCGTCGAAGCCGAGGGTGGCCGCCCCAGTGTCCAGCACAGAGGTCTGATTGTTTCCTCAGCTTGCACAGCTACACCCAGTGTCTGACACAGAATGCCCGGTGTTTGCCTACTCCCCGGGCAGCCTCGGGAGTTGATTAGACTGCATGGTCTCTTGCTATCTCATCAAATTCCATTTAAGATATGATAAAGCTGCCATTCCACACTTGTGGCAGAATACCCTGAATACATGGTAATAATTTAACAGTGGTAATGCAAGAAAGCACGGGTGATTTCAAGTCAGTAGTTTCTTTTTTTTATTTTTTTCTTTTTGCCTGACTAGCTAATCCACTTTCCTTAACAGATGGGCACAGTTTATTGCAAACAAGAAGAGAAGTGGTTTAAAGGCTTGTAGGATCACAGACTTTTTGCAAGTCACCGAGGTCACTCAGACATACTCCAAAAATAAAGCTATTGGAGCTGGTTATTGCTGCTTTGTTTTTTTCACTCATGAAGCCTTGCCTTCTGGGCTCCCTCAGACAGAGCAGCACAGCTAGGCTGGGAAGTTTGTTTAAATCAAACACTCCTTTTTCTTTACTTTCTGTCTGGTGGAGCTTCGCCTTTTGGACCTTGATATCTCTGGATATTTGGTCTCTTTCCCGTAATGAGTCCCAGAGCCAAACTCTGGGTCTGAGATATTATGACTGACAGTATATGGTTGAATATAAACTGGCTCTTTCACCTTCACTAAGGGGATCGTCAGAAAGATGGCTCTTCAGAACCCACAAGTCTTCCAGGATCCAGTGAGTTCCAGAAGAACAAAACTTCAACAAAACTTGTTCAAGAATGGCTCAGCAAGTAACACTACTTACCAATGATCTGAAATTGATGCCAGGAACACATGTAAAAGCCAGGTGTGGTGGTGCCTGTATACAATCCCAGAGCTGGGGATGGGCTGGAGAGATGGCTCCGAGGCTGCTCGGAGGAATAGAACCTGGGTTCTATTCCTACCACGGGCACGGCGAGTCACAGCCCTCTGTAATCCCAGTACCATGGATCTGAAGCCCTCTGGCCTCTTCAGGCCACGCATGCACACAGTGAGCAGACATTCGTGCAGCCCAAACACCCACACATAAAATAGTAAAATAATTAAGACAACAACAACAAAACCAGCAAACCACGACTGGGAAAACACAGATATACAGGTCACTTGGGCTCACTCACCAGTCAGCCAACCTGGCTGAACTGGCAAATTGAGTTCTGGGCCAGTTAGAGACCTCTGTCACACACAGGGTGGCTAGCACCCTCGGAATGACATGGTGATATTCTCTGGCCTCTACACACACTTCAGAAGCTGCTCTGGAAAGCTGTTTGGGTGCTCAGCTGAGCAGTATGATAATGGTGTGGGAGATGAAGAATGGTAAGGCGGGGAACGGATGACATAGGTGTTACTATATGTGGCTTGTCCTAGTCTCCTATTCTCGCCTCCCCATCACCATCATTTCCACCACACAGCACGAGCGAATGCGGCACACAGGCACAGGCTGACCGCAGCAGTCCCGACAGCTCTCTCCAGAGACGGGAAGCACTACCCACCTGAGTTCTTGTCTGGCAGTCGGTTTATCCTCCACACAATGGCGTTGAAGGCGTGCTCGTACTTGGCAGTTCCCAGAGTTACTCTCATCACAGGCTCAGAGCCAGAGGCTCCAGCAGAGCCAAAACTTGCCCCCCGGTTCACTTTGGCTTTCAAAGACTTTTCCCCCAGAACACTTTCCCTGCGGAAGTTTTTCACCCACTCACTGGGCACCGGGTAGCGGACCATTATGTTCTCACAGGGAACCTGAGTGAGAGGGTCGCGGTTAGAGGAGAATCCCGGAGACATCCGTAGCCAGCTCTGCACCTCCACTTCCGCCCCATTGATGCTCGCTGCCGTCCTGAGCGTGAAGGGCAAGGTCTTCTCAGCAAACACCGTCCTAAACCTCATCAGCTCAAACCGGCATGCGTCCAAAGGGTTGAAGAGGATAACTCGGGAGCTGTTAAACACGTCCTCATCCACGCACCCGTGGAAACGGCACTCGTGGAGCTTAATCCACTTCGTGGTGGTGGTGGGCATGATGTCCTGCCGAGAAACGATTTCGTTCCCTTTGATAAGGATGTCGTTGAGACCCAGGCGGCACTCGGCCAGCCCGGAGAGGAAAGTCAGAATGTGTATCCGTGTCAAGACACGGTGCCGGAGGATCTGGTTGTCTCCTTTGCTTACCGTGCCGGAGAATTCGTCTCTGACGTCCACCGTAATCTCCTCTTCGAGGTAGTTTAAGCCAACTGTGCTCAAGTCCATGGACAGCACTGGCAAATCCATGAGCCGGTCCTGAACGGCGCGGATGAAGCTCAGGAAGTCATCGTAATTGGTGGTGCCCAGTTTAATCACCTGCTCCCTCTCTGCCGTGTGGGCCACAGCAGGTTTGGGCTGGTATTTCTTCTTCTCCTTGTAAGTGACGCGGTCTATCCTCAAGCTGTGGATCCTCCCGTTCTCGTCGTAGTTTTGGAGCCGGGGTTCTGAAACCTCATGACAGATCTCCAGCTTGAATTCGCGGAATGGTTTTTCCAGGCCTTGCTCGTAATACAGCTGCAGGTAACCGCTGTCTGTCAGTTTGACGTAGATTGGCCCCCAGTGCCTGGAGGACATGATGTTTTTCTTTTCGGGGATTCTCAGCATCATTGGCCATCCATCCCTGGGCTGTGTCAGAGCCGAGGCAGGTGAATGAGCTTCTTGTTCAACCCAGGCTGCGGGGTCATCATCTGGCAGGGCCGTACTGCCCACGTGATCAGGGTCCTCAATATGCAGTTGTTTGAGCTTTTCAATAGCGTCAGGGTGGGACTGGCTTTTGCCCGAATCGTCAAAACTGATGGCATCCTGGTAGATGACGATGAGAGAATCTCTTTGGCTTTTGCCTGTGGTACTGGAAACAGAACTGTTTTGGGAGCGCCGTTCCTGCTCTTCGAAGAAAGCGCTGAACGGGTTGATAGGGGAAGGTTGTACGTCCTGAAGAGTCTCATTCAGGAAAGGGTTGGTGGCCCTCCAGGGCGGGGCCTCGATTACAGAAGGTGGACGGTGTAAGGAGGAAATGTCCAGCTTCTGAACTTTGGAGAAGTTCACCAATGTGCTCTTGGGACGGTCCCTCTTAAATGACCCAGTTGAGTTGTAAGGTACAGGTACATCCGGGGTGGCAGTTGCAACAGATGGAGTGCTTGTCTTCACTGGCGAGGTGACCGGTGGCAAAGGGCAGCCAGCTTCATTGTCATCAAAGGTGACCCAGCTTGGGAAGCGAGCTGTGGTCACTAGTGGAACAACAGGGTGCCCATTCATGGCTGGACTGCCAGCCGGCCAACTGATAGCCTCCATCTCTACTTCTTCATCTTCCTGCAGGGAGGAGGAGTTGTCTGAAAGGAAAAGGAAAAGGCATGAGGAGCTGCCAGGGAGGATCTTAGTGTTACAGGAAATTGAAACCGCAAGGGCAAAGGTTACTAGAATTTTATCTAGAACCCAGCGAATTCCCAAGCAGCATAGTATATGTCTCGAGTGCCTAAAAGTTCCTCACCTGAGCACAAGTCTCCTGATTTTGCAAGTGGCATGCTGGAGGTGCCACCACATTAAATGCCGTAAGAACATGATGGCTTTGTCAAGACAGATGCGCTAATGTGTGAAACGGATTTTCTCTGCATTTTAGCTTCTAGGGGGTGTGTGCTTAATCTATAAAAATCGAAATGACTCTCCTGCGTGAAATGATATAAACAGACTCCTCAAAAAATAATCTATATTCTAAAATGTATATTTATTCTATCAGTCGTATGAAGGATATGGCAGTACATATCCTTCAATTAACTATGGCCCAAATGTGATCAGTAAGTGTGAGTGACTCAACGTGTATGTAAAACTCACACAAATAGTGTGCTGACTCTTGGAACGTGCTCCAAGAGCGGAGTTGTGTGAGGGGAATTCTGAGTGCTTGTGAGAAAACTCCAAGAAAAGGAGAAAAGAGATGGGTGACCTCAGGTTCTCCAAAACCCCTGAATTATTCTTGGGATGTGCTTTTGTGCCCCTCCCAGGTGTGGTGGGTAGGAGTGAGCTTACTTGTTGTTCGTATGCCTCTATAGAAAAACATGTTTTGCCATGTGCAGCTTGTCCTTATGACCATACACGGCGTGAACTCACGAGAACCTTACTTGAGTGACCTTGCTTAGTCCTCAGAGTTTAAACTGTCTGATGCTCTGAGAACGGCTGGCTGTTGGATAAGACTTTCTTTAGTCCTCCTCCATTTTAGGCTCCATTCTCCCAGGTTCCATTGCCTTATTGTAGCGCAGTAAACAGGTGACTTAAGACATTCAAGCACAGTGGAATAATACCTAGCTGTTACAGTGTTTATAAGCTTTTAGTAATGAGGAAATGCTCGTGATATAATCTCTATTTTTTTTCCTTAAAGTTTCCACCTCTGGGTTTATGTACTTTACAATGTAAAAGCTTACTACAAATAAAATATTGCCCTAATATGTCCTTAAAGGAAGGGAATAAAGGATTTGGGTTTGATGAGAAAATGGTCCAAACTTGTATAGCATAAGACCCTAAGTATATGAGGAAGTTGTTGCAAGGGAGGGGAACATAGGCTTTTAGAAAACACTCAGAGGTTTGCTGCCTAAATAAGGGAAGAAACTTTGCTACAGCAGTAGCTCTATGTTTCCAGGTGTGTGTGTGTGTGTGTGTGTGTGTATCATGCCAGTCATTTGGGATCAACTTGAAATAGACACTCGAGTTTTAAGACTATCTCACTAATCCCCCATGCATATCCTATCCAACCATATTGAACCAGCAATGCTACAAACAACTGCACACATGAAAGGGTGGCTGACTTGTTACTCATTCTTCCAAGCAATTTATCCAAACAGATAGCTATTTCCTTAATTGAAAGGGTCATTTTGAGAGCCAGGCATGCTGGCATCCACCCGTAACTCCAGTACTCAGGAGGCTGAAAAAGGAGTAACATACATTTGAGTTTTTTTTTCCTGGACTATATAGAATCAGGCCAGCTGGGACTACAAGGCAACGTCCTGTCTTAAAAGTTAAAAAGAACATTTTGAGGTTGGGGAAGGTCTCAGTAACATGTTTGTCTCGAAAACTCAAAGTTTGAGTTTGGATCTCAAAACTCACACTAAAAATACTTATAACAAGAGGTGAACTGAATGTAGGTAAACACACACAGGCACACACAGACACACCCCTCCCATTCTGAAGAGGCAAGATAACCATGGTATGTGAGCATACCTACCCAAAGCCGTCCCAGAATATAACGGGCACAAAGGTGTATATGTGACACGGCAGAGATGAGACTGTCCCTCAGACGTGCTTTCTGTAGATACGGACTTGATTTATTTACTGGGGGAAAGGGGATGGGGGAGGAAACAACCTAAGCTTACAGTATTTATACCCTGTGCATTTATTAATCACTACTGTGTTTGTAATGAAGGACAGGGGAACACTGTGGGTCCGTGAAAGGTACAGTAACTTCTTTGAAGCAGTCATGAGTCTCCCGACTCACAGGAGTCTTAGTGTAGCTCCCTGTGGAGGCAGCGTCTCCACCCATGCAGTCCCTGGCTGGCCACAGCAGCTCCAAGGCCATCCCTTCTGCCTTGAGTTCACCCCCAGTCACCGGCTGGAGACAAGCTGAGTTCTGTTCCTTCTGTGGGTGGCTTTCTGCCAATGCTGTTCATATTCTTGCCAAGGGATTCCCTTCTGTTGGAAACCTTGTCCCCCAAATAGCCCCCTTCATCTTCTCCTGAGACAAAAGTTAAAAAGAAAAAAGAGGGGGGAAGAAAGGGCTTGTCTCTAATGAAGATCATTTTCTTACAATAAATTCCTTTTCAAAATCAAGTTATTTGAAGTTCTAGACATTAGAAGCTGAAGCATCGGGCTCAAAGTACAATTTATTTATTTTAGTGTTAAGAGTTGAACTCAGGTTGTCACTCATGCTAGACACTCTACCACTGGGCTACATCCCCCATCCTTAACACACCACATACACACACACACACACACACACGCGCGCGCGCGCGCACACACACACACCCAAATCTTTTTTAAAAAAAGTAACTCAAGAATTCTTAGAAGAATTCACCTAAGAAAATAACTAAGTTTATCACATGTACAGAGGGGATGTTTATCATAGCAATGTTTAGATCACTGAGAAGTTTTAAAAAACATTTCAACAACAGAAAAACATTCTATAAACTGCTGCACCCTTAAAATGCAGCCCTGTGTCACCCTGAGATAATGCTCTGGCTTCAGGTTTATAACGTGGAAGAACCATAAGGGGATGTGGAGGGAAAATCAAGACTCTATGATCGGAGTTTGAATTGCTTGTGTTTTAATTATATACCAGGATCTTAATAAGCTACTTAACTTTGGGTACATCTTTAGCTTCTGTATCTCAGTTTTCCATCTATTGACTTAAGAAAATATTAAATCCTATCTGATAGGTTAGTGGCTGCTCTTCCCATTACTAGTAGGAGAATATACTTCATTTAAAAAGTAACTATGTGTCTGAAAACAGGTAAGGTATGGGATGGTATTGCATAACCCTTTGAAGGCAAATTTCTCATGGAGTAAAAGCAAGATTAAAACCAACAACAACAAAACCAAATAACAATGTGATATTGATGGCTCAGTGAGTAACGTGCCTGCCACACAAGTGTGAGTACCTGAGTTCGAATTCTGACATCTCAAGGTTCAGTACCATGTGTCTGCCATACCAGTGCTCCTAAGGCAAGATGGTGCTGGGGGGCAGAGACAGAAGAATCCCTAGATGGCTACAGGCTGTGGACCCTACAGAAAGGAGACAGCTTTGCTACAGTCTGTGTTGAACGAGCCACGGTTAGGTCTTTTTCCCAGTCTGAAACAGGCAAAAGCTAATATATTCTTGACTGTGAATTTAACTATCACCCACGATTCCTTTTATTAAAAAAAATATATACTATTTGTTTAATTACTCTCCCACCTGCTACTTCAAAATTGCTTTTGTTATGATTTGAGTGACTGCTAAACAAGGGCCACATTTAAAGACCAGGTCCCCAGTCTATACTACAGGAAGATTGCTAAGGTCCAAAAAGGCTTCTAATATCTTTACTGACATCTACTAAATGGAGGAGGTGAATTCCTTCAAGATTAGGATTGTACAACATTAAGTGATCACAATGGTAATGAAGCTGAAGGCCTGTGGGGAAGTGTGCTCCTGTGGGGGATTAACAGTCTCTCTATATGGAACACAGTAGTTATCTTTCTACCCCCAGTTGTTGACCTAATTCATTAATGTAATGCCATCATGCAGAAAACCTATTTGCAAGATGCCCACTGAGTTTGCTGGGAGAGATGTGATCAAAGATTCTCTGCTGCAGGTTTCTCAACATGAAAAGACAACCAGAGTTATGTAAGAGAAAATGCCTAGAACTGTAGCCAGCCTCCAATAAAAAACATTAGGCACTTAAGTAGCCATATAGCAATCTGTGATGTGAAAAGAGGAGCGTAGGCATCCCTTAGAGACTGCAAAACTTAACCCCTTCATTTGACTGAGAAGACCGTGGTTTGGTGCTTTGAAGAGAAGTGCCCAGGGCCAAAAGGCCCAGTGGTTAAAAGCTCACTTTCTGCCAGCCACATGGCAGCTCACAACCATGTGTGTCTCTAACTTCAGGCAGTCTAACCTCTTCTGGCTGTAGGTACTGTGCTCAAGTGGTGCATATACATCTGTGCAGGCAAAACATGTACACGCAGAAAATAGAAAGAAATAAACCTTAAAAAAACCTGCCTTGCCGATGAGATTAGAAGTCATCTTGCTGTAATTTCCGTTAGCTATTATTTCCTTACTGTTCATTCTCTCCTGTAAAATCTGATTAACTTTTTCCATTTGGGACTGGCAAGAGTTATGTTGACATAAACTTCTTAGGGGCCTCTGTCCAAGTTGGGAGTAAGATGGTGATTAGACAAAGGCCGACCTCTCTATATACAGAAGTCTTTGGGCAAGGAATCACGCTGTGTCACCGCCAAAGTGTAAGGGATAAAGAGTTACTCAGGTGAACTTCCGAAAGGAGCGTGTAACTTTATTAAGTGCAGTGAGATAATTCAACTCCATGGTGAAAGCAGGGCCAGATGTTTGACTCTGTCTACCTGTCCTAAGTTCTGTCCAGTACTGAAGATGTTCTCATGATGGTCATGATACCTGGTCAGAATTTCCCGAAAAGCAGGAAGCAAATGCATCAAACTACCTTGAGCACACTTAACAGGCAGTGCATCGAGACACTCCTTTGTATTTACCAAGGACCTTCTTCAAAAGATGGGCACAGATTTCCTTCCAGTTCCTTTCTCTGCTTTTTAAGAGTGGCTGACTAGACACTCGGGA